TTAACGACTATTTCAAAAATTTATTAAAAACTCGACCACTTTCTCTAATATATACTCAATACAATCACATACATGGCGAAGCATAAAATAACACGAAAACAGAAAAAGGACTATTTAATTTTCCTGGCACAACTATAAAATATATAACTGGAAATCCTGACGACTCTGATTTAAATTTACTAAAGACTCACATTATTGAAATTGAAGTCAAACAAAATGTAATAATCAAATGTCATTTAGCCAATCCGAGATTCAATGAACTTTTAGAACAAGTAACTAAAAATAATAGAGCCCTTTTAATAGCTGATTGTGATGGATACATGATCCTACATAAATGAAACAAATCTTCAAAACATTAACAAATTTCTTATGAAACTTATTCGGACAATTGCCCTTTCACATTTAAATTTGTCAAATATAGAATTATTTACTCTTAAAGAACTCGAGGACTTAAAAAGAAAACCTTACAAAAATTTACTAAAGAAATGCCCACTCGTCGATGACGAACACCCATATGAACTTATCGAATCATCTAAATCTCTAGTTTGCGTCACATCTAATACTATACTCATAATTCTCAAAATCTCAATTCTCCACGTTAACGCTTAATCCCACCTTTAGAATTTATCCTATTTCTAATAATAATCACATAATGGTATTGCCTCCGGCTGACTATTATGAGTAGAGGGGAAAGGGTGGTGCAAAAGGATGCATTGAGATGAGGCATCAAAAGGATGTCGCGGGCGACCTGGCAAAAACTCCTATTTGCAATTTTTACCGAAAATGCGTTATTACTGTTTTTGCATTCTACTAGGCCATGCGCATGTTAAGTAAAATTATCCTATAGCTCAAAAAATCGCAAAATCGTTAAACTCTGTTATTTCAAATTCGCCCTTTAGAAACCCAACCTGTCGCGGCATGCAAAATCTCCTATTCTTTACTTCGTCAATACTCAGTCACACGATGCATGTCAAGACGTGCTTTATTTTTATTATTTTTATGTAAAAAACGGTAAGTTTTATTTAATATTTTTTGAAAAATGCATGTTTTATTAGGTATAGATCATTTTTATTTCATTATTTATATTTCAAACAGGATTGTAGATCTATTTTAACTTACGTTTCGTTTTTATTTCAGATATGAGATTTTGCAGCCGCATAAAAAAGTCGTATAGGAGATTTTGAATCATGTCTTCCGGAGGGAAAATAATTATTGTCATGCTGAATTCAACTAAAAATAATAATTTTCTTTCTAATGGAAACTTTTCCATGGAACAGCAAACAAGAGATATCGACCAATTTGATATTAACAATATACCTGTAATCACTGCAGATAAATATTTATTACAGACACAAACGAGGTCTTTACTGTTTGAAGACTGTCTATTGAGTAATACAAACCTAACGAACAATTTAAAATGTGATAATTTAGAAGACTGTATACCAAATCTACCTGCTACCTCTCTAGAACATATTGTGATGGATGTTAATAATCTAAATGATATTGAAGACTGCTTAGTCACTGAAATCAACACTAGTGAGTTGGACAGGGATTCTTTTAAAGACTGTTTAGATATAATAAACGACGATAATCTTAATATAAATCACACCCAATTAGAAAAATTAAACATTTCAAATACTTTAGAACCTAAATCTTTAGTAGCCAATGAGTTACCAAGTGACGAAGAAAATGGAAACAATAGTGATACTTCTTATAAACAACTATCAAACAGTAAGTCGGATACAGAAAGCGAAAACGATGTCACAAATACATTAGAGAACCAATTCATTGAAGACGAAAATGTTAATATAGGAAGAAAAAGAAAGAAAAAAGGCAGACGAAAAGAGTTGGACTCGAATTAAAAACAAAAAACTGCGGCTGGAAGGAAAAGCATACTTGGGGTTTAAAAAAGAAGAAGGTAAAATTAAGCAAAACTGCTTAACGCTTGTCAAGGTCGCTAAAGCCAGTCTGTAATTCACCAGTATGCAAAAATTCTAAAAAAAGTTTTTGTTCACAATTTAGTGAGGAATGCAGACAAAAGATTTTTAATAAATTTTGAAAAGAAAGTAATTAGGAGCAACGAAAACCTTTTGTTTCTTCTCACGTATTAAAAACAACATTGCAAGGACGTCAAGTGAAACTTCTAGAAGACAGCTGACTTGTTTACTTTTTGAATACCTGAGAAGAAAAACTTTAAGTGTGCCGCACGATGTTTATTAATACGCTAAATATTGGCTACAAAACTGTGCAAGAATGGGTGAATAAAAGCTCTTATGGTATAGCAGCAAAATTTCATGTAAAAAACTACGTCAAAACTCGTTTCGTGGAAGGGTATCATCATCTAAATAATTTCTTTTAACAATTGCCAAAATTACCCGCACATTACTGCCACAAGGATACATTAAAGTTATACTTAGAGACTTCTTTTCAAACGCTAAGTGATTTGTACAAAGTTTATCAAAAGAATATTGCAAAGAACAGGGGCGTCCTTCAATGAGTAGAAATATATTTAACAAAGTCTTTTACGAAAAAAATCTCTCACTTTTCCGGCAAAAAAAAGACCAGTGCAACACATGTTTTTCGTATAAATATAAAAATGAAACTGAAGAGAATTGGAAAATTCATGTAGCCAATAAAGAAAAGGCTAGGAAGGCAAAGACAACCGACAAAAAATTAGCTGAAAATTGTGGTATTAATAATGGACTTGCAGGCATTCAAACTAGCGCCATTTTTGCAAGCTGGAAAAATCTATTTTAAAACAAAACTGTGCTGTTAAAATTTTACTTTATACAATTTGGCCACTCGTGATGTAACTTGCTACTGGTTTTCCGAGGACCAAAATAATCAGCTACAAGCTTCTACGTTTACTTCTTGCATAATAGACTTCTTGGAGAAAAATTGTTTGACCCCTGACAAGTTGCCCATTATTATCTATTCTGATGGTTGCGGCTTTCAGAATAGAAACAATATTTCGTCCAATGCTATTTTCAACTTTTCCATCAAACACCAAATATTTGTATACCAAAAGTATTTAGAGCCAGGTCACACTCAAATGGAGTGTGACTCGGTTCATAGCACAATAGAGAGAAAAGTACGTCATCGCGAAATACATTTACCAAGTGATTACGCTTCCGTTACTAAAGAATCAAGATTAAATCTTAAACCCTATGATGTACAAATTTTAGACTACAACTTTTTCAAAAACTTTTCTGATTCCAAGTTTCATCGATATTCTTCGATACGCCCAGGTAAAAAGACCAATGATCCCGTCGTCAATGATATTAAATGTATGAAGTACATCTGCCTGTAAGACCAAAGATTTTGGACCCAATAAATGACTACCCACAACTTTTAAAAAGCCAATGTAAAATTAAAAGAGAAAAATGGAACCACCTTCAGGCTCTTAAATCGGTGTTACCAAAAGATACGACAATCTGCTTTTTGATTAGTTTCTAAAATTAATTAATATTATTGTAGTACTTAAGAACAACTTTTTGATTTCTCTAATATTATCAGTTATTTTTTTTTCTTTTTATATAATCCCAAGCAAAGATGGAGTTTAAAAATATTCGTTTATTTTAATAAAGCTATTTTGAAATTATTTTAATACTAATTATTTTGCTTATGTAAGAACTATATTGCACAAACAATTTATAAATATAACAAAGAAAATAGTTCAAATACACTTTTAAACAAAAAAAGTAGCAAAATATTCTTTTAAGAGCCGTAGCAAAGTTTTTTGTGTTTCCTGTAAAGTTTGTCAATTATCAGATAGGAGGTTTTGACAGGTCACCTGCGATATGATGGGGAATAAAAAGAAAGCGATGTGTAATCGAAATGAAGGGATGTGGATTCAAAAGGAAGCGATTTCCCATCCTTTCCTTTTGATTCCCCATCCCTTTCTTTTAATTCCCCTTCACATCTTTTTGATACCCCCTCGCAACTTTTTGATCTCCGGAGTTACTCGCAGAGACTTCGAAGACGAAGTCAGAACCAAAGGAAGGAGGAGAAATGTGATAGAAATCCACCATTCATTTCCCGGAGTGCCTCATCAGCAAAGTCAGCGCTTTACACCTTCACGGCAATGAATCCGAGGTTATAAATAATATTAATGTTCTTTTATTTTTAATTATTTGAAATTATTAAAGATCCATGTCGTACATTTTTTAATAAAGTTTTGAGTTTTTTTGGAAACTTAACTATACCAACCTACTGATAATTCTTTTGTTTGGAATATCTAATTTTTTCCAATATTCTCTGATGTCTAATAATTGAGATGTTTGCTGGGCAAAAATCTGGAACACACGGTATAGTTTGGACAGTTAAAAATTTAAAATTTGTATAAAAATATAATATCGATTGCTTGACCTCAAAGTTTTAATTAATTTTCCTATATATTTTTTGATTCTACTTAAAGATTTGATTTACCATTTAACTTTTTTCTGTCTCAATAAATAAATTAGGTTTGATTTTCAATATTTTTCTTGTTGAATTTATAAACAGTTTATATGTGTTTTGTTATTTATATAAATATACATAGTTGTGGTAACAAAAATCAGAATGGCAATACTTTAAAGTTCCAAAATATGTCCATCCTGCATAAATAAGGGCTATTTAAGAAACCCGTAACTGGAACTGTTAGTTTGAATAAAAAAAGAAATTATATTTACAGTGTCTTATATATTCTAATTTTTACATTTTCATGGGAATATAATTAATAACAAATTTTTACATCAGCTGTATTATCTTAAAATCATAAAATTTAACTCTCAAACATGACGCAATTGAAGATTTTTTTAAAAACTAGTTATTTCTCAAAATTCCTTTTATAATTATTATTTTATTAAGTCTGATAAGTTTCCCATGAAAATATAAATGCTGATAAAAATTCTTTGGCTTCAAAAATTAAACATGCACAAAATTGCATATCACATCAAAAAAAACTAGATAACACACGTCAATTATATACAAAATAAAAAATGATTCTATACAAAATTACATTAAATATAAAAATAATTTTCATAGTCCGCATACGACTGATCACTGTCACTTTTTGACAGTTGCGAATTGCTGTTCCAAATTTTAAGATTAGAAAACTTATTTCGCACTATAGAAAGGTCTTTTTGTTTGGATTTGTCAATTTTGGATGTCTCTTCTAAATTTTCTTGATTAGTTGAGGATGACTGATGAGATCTTGAAAGAGGGACTAGGCTCGTACACGAGTTATTATTTGTACAGTTCGTTTTTGATGTGTGCGAAAGTGAGATAGGCTGAGATGTCCTGAATGTCCTCGAAACTGGCAGTGGAGGAAGGTCTGACACCCAGAATATCTGAAAGCAAATTTTATTGTGAGAATATGGTGTAAAAATCTTTAAAATTAAACTCTTTTAACTATAATTTTAATAGATATTTATCTACTATTGGAAAAACTTCATTAAATATATATCATACTGTACTATATTACTATATGTTCATAGATTGTTACGGTTTTGTTTTTGTATGATTGTCAATAAAGAGTAAAATATACATTTTTTTTTGTTCCTCTATGAATCTGCTGGTTTAATCAAGAACCAATAGTTTTTGGGCCCAGAGACTTCTTAGCTGCGTCTGAAGAAAGCAAAAGGTATTGCGTATATTTTCCATTGAATATAAAAAGATATTTGAAAAATATTGACAGAATCTATCAAAGTTATCCAGCTAATTTCATTTTGAAAACTCAAAAACGATTTACTGATTAAGAATGCATCAAGAATTAAATCACAGAATCGTCAATCGTAACAATTGTGAAGCAAACATGCAAAAGCCGATAAATCCACTTTTTACATTTTTTACTAATTTTGGTAAGCTTTACCGATCTAGCGCATTAGATTCAAGCAAATCCCGATACATCGTATTAAAAAAGCACCTTAATTTGTCAATTTCATGCAAATAACGATAAATCCAAATTTTAAGCAAAACCCGATAAAAAAATTTAAACTTCTGCCATCTATGCGGATTACTAAGGTAACGTGACGCCAGAAAATTACAGCTATCTTTTTTTCAAAATAGTTATTTCCGTTTGTCAATAAAAACTAAAAGATAAAGGGGGCACTAATATGAATATTATTGTTTAAATTCAGAGAAACAGCTGATTTTTTCTAGAAGTGCAGTGGCATTTTAGCAGTTAACGTGTTGCTCGTTTTTAATATTATTTTTGGTATTGTTTATGATGGATGAAGAAGAAGCCAATGTATCTGATATTAGCATAGGAAGTAGAAAACGCAAAACAAATGAGACAAATTTACATTTACATTGGAACGTGTTGTTTACTTTCTGTTTGTTTTTTAGATACAAAGATGACGATCCGGATTTGATTAATTTTAAAAAGGTTTGTGATTATAAAGGACCTACATATCGGTGTGAAAATATTCCACAATCCAGAAGTCGCAATTTTTCGGTGCATTATTTTCTGCCCAAAAGAGTGTCCAAGAAAAAATTCAGGTATGCCAGGCTTGTTTTTTTCTCAAATGTGTTTGTAAAAAAAGACCGAATTAATCACATAGCGCAGGTTTTATCTGAAGGGAATATTTCAAAAGAAAACCGTGGTGGAGATCACGTGTCCGCTAAATCTGTTGCAAAAAAGTTAAAGTAAAAGAATTCATTGGAAACCTAAAAGGAAAGGAAAGTCATTATAATAGAGAAAAGTCGAAAAGGATTTATTTAGATGCTAACTTAAACATAAAAAAATTGCACATGTATCAAAGTCAGTGCAATGTTGAGCATAAAGTTAACTTTTCTATGTTTAGAAGAATATTCGTGAATGACTTTAATATTGGCTTTTTTAATCCAGCCACCGATATTTGCGCAAAATGTACTAGGCTTAAATACTTGACCAAAAGTGAAGTTGATACAGAAAAAAAAAAGAGGTTACAAATCGAACTTACAATTCACAAAAAGAGGGCTAATGCTTTTTATAGGCTGCTAAAAGAGAACCCTAACAACTCAATTACTTTTTGCTTTGATCTTCAACAAATTCAGCCTTTGCCCAAAACCCAATTAACGATGCATTTTATGCGCAACAAGTTAACATATATATTTTTTGTTGCGTGGACAGTCAATCCAAAAAACCAACTTTTTACTTTCCTATCTGTATACAGATATAAGGAAAGTATAGGAATCATGATTTTTTTCGACCTCGAGTTTTCGACGGATTTTTACGTTTTGAGGTCCCCTGAATCCGTTTTGACTATTTTCGCGATGATGTCTGTGTGTGTGTGTGTGTGTGTGTGTGTGTGTGTGTGTGTGTGTGTGTGTGTGTGTGTGTGTGTGTGTGTATGTGTGTGTGTGTGTGTGTGTGTGTGTGTGTATGTGTGTGTGTGTGTGTGTGTGTGTGTGTGTGTGTGTGTGTGTGTGTCTGTGTGTGTGTGTGTCTGTAGGTCGCATAACTCATGAACCGATACACAGAAAAACACCAAATTTTAAACTTAAGCTTTGTTTCAGCGTCCAATGAGCTGATTAGATTTTGGGCAGAGTCGGAACATCTGGGGGGGTACTTTATAGGTGGTCATTTTTATATTTTATGGAATATATCTGTTATTTACGTTTGGAGAAGAAAATTCTTCAAATAAAAGTTACTTCTTATATAATTATCTATAATTTTTGTTTTATGCAAAATTTTCCTAAAATGGTCCGTATTCGAGAAATTTGACAAAATGTAAAAAAAATAATTTTTTATAAAAATTATTCAAATAAAAGTTGTTTGTAATATAATTCTCTATAATTTTTATCCCATCAATAATTTCTCTAAAATGGACCGTATTCGAGATATTTGAGAAAATGTGTAAATTTCGAATTTTGAAGAAAACTCAAAAACGGATAAAGGAAAAAACATTAATTTTAAACTTAAGTTTTATTTCGACCTGAGGTGAACTGATTAGATTTTGGACAGAGTCGGAACATTTGGGGGGGGTACTTTATTGGTGGTCATTTTTATATTTTATGGAATATATTCGTTATTTACGTTTGGGAAGAAAATTCTTTAAATAAAAGTTACTTACAATATTATTATCTATAATTTTTGTTCTATGTCAAATTTTCCTGAAATGGTCCGTATTCGAGAAATTTAACAAAATGTGCAAAATTCTGATTTTTAAGAAAATTGTTAATCTAAAAGTTGTTTGCGATATCGATCTCTATAATTTTTGTTTTTAAATGACTTTTCTAAAATGGACCGTAATGGAAAAATGGAGGAAAAGTGCTAAATTATAATTTTTCAGTATTTTCGTTTTCAATGAATATCTATAGAAAAATGTTTCGAGGTAGATGTATGTGGAAAATGTATATATTTAGTTTATCCTCTAAACATTTTTAGAGATGCTAAATTATAATTTTTCAGTATTTTCGTTTTCAATGAATATCTATAGAAAAATGTTTCGAGGTAGATGTATGTGGAAAATGTATATATTTAGTTTATCCTCTAAACATTTTTAGAGATGCTGCAATAGGTTAACTAGATAGGAAAGTCATGTGTTGGACACATCAGATTTTTTTACTTGGACGAAAGATATGGCAGGAAGAGGATCAATCGAGGTAGGATCTGCACTTTTAAGTTATTTGGATTCATTGAATTATGACGATATCACCACAGTTCGTCTATTCTGCGACGGATGCGTAGAACAAAATAAAAATAATCATATTTTGCACACTCTATACTTCTGGCTTAGATTTAAAACACCAATAAAAGTTACAAAATTACAAATAGTTTTTCCAGTAAGGGATCATTCCTTCCTACCAGCCGATAGAGTATTCTGGATTCTGGGTGGGTGAAAAAACTTCTAAGAAAACAAGCTACAATCCTTTCAAGAAAGCATTATGAAGAAACTTACGAAAAAGTTGGAGTACTAAAAAGACTAGGCGTTGACTGGAGACTTTTTGATGTAAAAACACTCCAAGTGGGTTTAAAAAAGATTAAAGAGCAATCAGAAATAAAAAGAGTAGTTTTTCAAAAATTTAACGATGGAGCGTTGATTAAAATATACGCATTTGAAAACTTTTACTACTGCTCAGGAACAGGAAAGTTTGAAAAATTGTTGAAACCTAAGTTTTCGGATCTAGATTTAACAATAGTGGGAAAAGATACCAAACGGGGCATTCCAGAGAAGAAGAAAAATCTCTTCAGCATTTCATAAATCATCAATTTGGTCTGAATTGGGAGGAGTCAGAGGATCTGCAATGGTATCGGACATTACTTCATGGAAATACATTACTCGATGAAGAGGGGAATTCCATTGATGAAGCGGAAGATATATGCGACTGTCTTGAAGAGGAAGTGGCTGTTCATATTTAGTTTTTTTTTTAATAAAATGTTTTGTCCAAACTCTTTCTGTGTTAACTGTATGCTCTTGTTATATCATATTCACTGTTTTGCTTTGTGCTATGAATAACATATCTATTTAATCGTGATGTTATCTATTTCTATTTCTGTATTGATAAGGATAAAATAAAATCAAATAGATTTTTAAACACACCTCTCTTATAAATACACAAAAACTTATTTTTCAAGTAAAAACCGATAAATCCAAAAAAAACTAAAAAAATAAAAACAAAAAAATACAACGACCACGAAATTTTGGAACAATCAAAGACAAACCACCTTTAATACATTTTTAAAAATACCCAGCAGATTCCGCTGTATATGTTTTTGACCAATATGTCAAAATCAGTAAAACTGGATTTATCGGCATTTGCGTGTTTGCTTCACAATTGTGTTAAAAGCTAGTGATTTAATGCATATAAGCAGCCTATTCGCTCAGTGCGAAGTCATAGTAGGGGAAGCAAAAGCAATACTAGCGCTAGCTGCGGATAATTCGTGCATTTTAGGGCGATATTTTGTAATTTTGGCATATCAAATACACGTATACATTTTACTTAAAAAAAAAAGGTAAAAAAAAAGGTAAAAACAATACAAAAAGCAACCGAAGTTGCTGTGTTGTAAATTGTAAAAATACTATAAAAAACAGTGTAAATTATAAAAATTTTTAGTAGCAAAGAGGAAATTAAATCAAAGAAATAAATGGATATGTGTACAATAAGAAGAAAAATTATCTTTATTTTTGTAATAATAATAGTAATACTGGAAATAATAGACATTTGAAACCTGAGAGGTTTTAAATTAACAATAACTATCATTTGACGACGTTCTTCAACATACCTTTAATCTTAAATGTTCATGCAGCAAGAACTGTATTTTTGCCTTTGATTATTGTATGTGGCTGGAATGCAATTTTGTGACTTACTGATAGGAAACCAGTTTTATTCATTAATTCTATGTTTTCTTTCGAATAAAACTGAAAATATAACTCCTTCTGTTTATACATTTATAACTTCACGCTCATTATTTAAAGATATTTTTTATTTTGACAGAATAGGTTAATAATTCTTCAAAGACAACTTATCATATTACATTTTCCCGTAAATACTGTTGCCTGCCTTTATTTTATTATTGATTTTTATTGAATATACTTAATTTTTTTTAGTTTAAGCGATAAAAATATATAATATAATAAATTATTGTTTTACTTGTTTTTCAAACCCATATACTTTTATTAAAACTAACACATATATTTTTTAACTACGAATTCCATTAAAAATTGTATTTCTATATCAAAATTAATTAACGATAGCTCTTTGGTGTAGAGCATTGTCGGTCGAATATAGTAACATCCTATATAAAGTACCTATGTAAACAAGTATGAGTACTTTTCTTCATATTTATCAGGAAATGTGCATTTTCTCCAAAAAATTTTTTGAATAAAAGTTGTTCGGCCCTAAAGGTGTAAAATATTTTTTTTTCATATTAATAATTACTTTCACCTTAATGAATTTTATATCAGTATAAAGAAGATATTGAGATTTAAAAAATAAAAACAAATTTATAATGATGCAATAAATTTTTATGATGCATCGAAAATCCTTGAGGATGGCGGACAGACGAATTTTCAATTGCAGATTCGGATTGTTAAATAATAAAGAAAAATTCCTAACTGGTCAACTTAATATTTAACACCAAGGGAAAGATTGTTATTGCATTGTTTATTAAATAATAATTATTAATATTTATTAATATTTATTTATTAATAATTATTAATATTTATTTATTAATATTTATTAATATTTATTAATATTTATTAATATTTATTAATATTTATTAATATTTATTAATATTTATTAATATTTATTAATATTTATTAATATTTATTAATATTTATTAATATTTATTAATATTTATTAATATTTATTAATATTTATTAATATTTATTAATATTTATTAATATTTATTAATATTTATTAATATTTATTAATATTTATTAATATTTATTAATATTTATTAATATTTATTAATATTTATTAATATTTATTAATATTTATTAATATTTATTAATATTTATTAATATTTATTAATATTTATTAATATTTATTAATATTTATTAATATTTATTAATATTTATTAATATTTATTAATATTTATTAATATTTATTAATATTTATTAATATTTATTTATTAATATTTATTAATATTTATTAATATTTATTAATATTTATTAATATTTATTAATATTTATTAATATTTATTAATATTTATTAATATTTATTAATATTTATTAATATTTATTAATATTTATTAATATTTATTAATATTTATTAATATTTATTAATATTTATTAATATTTATTAATATTTATTAATATTTATTAATATTTATTAATATTTATTAATATTTATTAATATTTATTAATATTTATTAATATTTATTAATATTTATTAATATTTATTAATATTTATTAATATTTATTAATATTTATTAATATTTATTAATATTTATTAATATTTATTAATATTTATTAATATTTATTAATATTTATTAATATTTATTAATATTTATTAATATTTATTAATATTTATTAATATTTATTAATATTTATTAATATTTATTAATATTTATTAATATTTATTAATATTTATTAATATTTATTAATATTTATTAATATTTATTAATATTTATTAATATTTATTAATATTTATTAATATTTATTAATATTTATTAATATTTATTAATATTTATTAATATTATGTAGCATTTCTACAGCCAGTCGTCTTAAGTCTTTTACTAACCTTTCTTCTGGTAAGTGGTAAATAGTCTGGATTTCTTCTAATTAAAAAGTGACACTGGTGACTTGGCAACCACGTTTGTTGAACTTGTAGCGGTCTATCATCAGGGTGCAACTTCCTTTGCTGTTCTCTATCTGTGTTAACTTCGTAAATAGAAAATTGTTCTACTCTTTCTTTGCTGTTACTGCAAGTCAACAATAAGGAAATGACTTCATCAGCAGTAGTTCTCGCGCTAATCAGGAGTGATTTGTACTGGGAGTTGGTGTTCAAAGCGGAGTCGTGTACTTTCACTAGGCCCCCGCGGCGAGTTTGTAGGGAAAATCTAAAATAAAATGGATACTATGAAAATGCAAGCAACTTTTTTTTTATAAAAAGATTTAGTACGCCAATGTATCGTGTCCACTTCGATTGGATCCGCCGTAAACCTGTCAATTTATGTGTATAAAGTGGGAGAACTGGCAAAAGACTTTCCAACTTCTGCCCCTGCTATATTTGGTATAGGGAGATATTCAGTGTAAAATTCTTTTGGAACAACGAAAAAATTGTAAACACATGATATTATGTCAAAGTGACAGATCAAAATTAATTAACTTTAATACTTAAAAATAATTTAAACAAGGAAAAACTGGACTCTAATAAGAATGAACAGAAACATCGGCAAGAAAAGGTAACACGAGGCTAATAATATAGTATACACCAAAGAAATTAAGTGGCACTTTATAATTTGAAGCGAAAAAGTTTGTAGCTGAAAGAGGGCTAGAATGAAAATTATAAAAAAACCAGTGAAGATTTCAGTGCAAGTTTAATATAACGAATATTGTATTTTGTACGTTCTAAAAATTTTAAATTAAAGCAAACAAAAGGGTACCTATTTTCACTCACCTGGAATCTCCTTTAGGATGACAACTTTGCAACACAGCAGGCCTGGCTTCTTCGTCCAATGCTAAGTGTGTCTTAACACCGGCTTTCCGAACTGTCACCTCCATTGACAGATAAAAAAGTTTCGGATCCCTGTGCTTCATTTTGTATTTGCTAAGCAATGTGGCCACAACTTCTTTACACGTCGTTTGGAAGGTGATACTGAGAGTTTTGTATTCTATATCGGGGCGGAGACATCGGGCATACACTTTAATCGTGGTCTGAAAAGAAAACGAGTAATTAGAAAAATATTTTCTTATTAAAAATTAAAATAATTCTGAATATTTTTTAAACCATGGATATTTTAGACTTAAATATCTAATAAAGTATGGTCCTTAATTACTTCATTGCTAATATACTGGGAGACAATTTAAAAACGAATATTTAATATTTCTTTAGCTTTTTAACTTCAAAAATGACGAAATAAGGGTTGCTTTTTAAAGTGTCAGGGGTAGGGAAGTAAATGTAATAATCGACAAATAAACAGTTGTCTCCCTTGATATGTAAATTGACGAGTTTAGCCAAATTTTCGTAGTGACATCAGTTAAAGAAATATTAAATACTGTTTGTTTTCAAATTGTCACCCAGTATATGGGATATTGAATATTTAAAAAAAATATAATTTACAAATAACTAGTATTAATTTTTCTGTAATTTTTGGTGTATGAAAAGAGCATTTAAAGGTACCAATAATGGAAATAAAATTAATTTATTGTTATGATTTTATTCAGTTGTACAACAAATGTTGTTTTACATTTTTTCTCATACCAATTATTGGTAAATTTTATTGATACGGTTACACATCATTTATATTTTCGAGTAAAGGTGTAATTTTTGAATATTTCCGATTTCTGTTAATTATTAAATCGAAACCGGTCCAAAAATTATTTAAACAAAATACATATTTTTTGAAATTATTCAATATTCTCTATCTCTTGTAACAATGAATTCAACATAAAATCATATTCTTTTTAATTTTATACTTTTGAGACACCCTTTATATAATAATATGAAATTTTTTTAAATAAATTTCTGTTGTTGGATCTTGGGATCGAATTCCATTAATACCTGGAATTTTTTCAATTAATTCTTAGATACTCTATCATTCACTATTGGGTTATAATTAACAGCTTTTGTCCTTAAGTTGCGGCAGGAAACAGTCACAAAGCCTACATAAAATAAGCAATGTTAAAAAAGAAACATTTTTAATATTAAACACAATTTCTGATATGCAGATATCAATAAGCCGCTAAAAATATTATAAATTAGAATAAATCTGTAATCAAATTTCGAACTCTCAAGAAAACTACTTTAAAAAAGCTGAAATTTTTTTTCCAATTTAGTACATTTTTATTTTATAAATAAAAAATTAAAAAAAAAAAAAAAGAAATTCCGGTACCGGGAATCGAACCCGAGCCTCCTGGGTGAGAGCCAGGTATCCTAGCCACTAGACCATACCGGATTTCACGAAATGTTTTTTAAAAATTCGCTACAGTCCAAAATTATACTTTATTTCAAATTCTGCTATGACGGCTGACTAGATATTTTAAAACGTGTTTAGGGTCAAGTGGGGCAAGTGCTTTGTAAGCCTGAAAATGTCCTAGCTCATGGCCGACTTTGGGGTCTATTCTGTCACAATTCCTTTATATTTAACGGCCTTTAAAAATATTTTCTTCTTTACTTCTGTCATTATTTAAATGGATCTTTAAAATACATTAGAGGACTATCTTAAAGAAATCTGTTTAAATAATGACAGAAGTAAATTAACGAATACGAACATATTTTTATAGGCCGCCAATATTTTTAAAGGCCGTTAAATACCTATAAAGGAATTGTTACAGAATAGACCCCATAATTTAATAAACTAGATAAAGACGGCCATGCATAGAAAAATAAACGGCCATGCAGGAGCTGGTAACTCAAATGGAAAAACATGAGGACGGTAATTTAGTACCACTCCAATTAACGGGATGGCGCTCATATCGAAATGTCATGTTAGTTGTCAGCTTGTCAACAAAACTTCAAACTTGGAAAAATTAAAATGGATGTTGCATTTGAAGCACATTTGAAGGTGTATTGATTCATTTAAATTTATTTTTCAACACCTTCCAATTTTAAGCATGTTTTCATGAGATAGGAACATGGATTTCAGTAACGAACAATAAAGCACTCCCAGATATTGGTAGTGATGCAATTTATACCACGTATTAAATATGAGGTCGTCATATTAAGGATAACCAATTTGTAATAAGTGTCTTAAGAAAAATGCATCTTGTAGTGGCATCAATGGTAAGTACTATTTACAAACTTGTTTTTGATTCAGTTTTAAAATAATTGGTTTGTTATTTAAATTTTTTTGTTTTCAGTTTTTAAATGATCATTGTTGTAAAGAAAATTTTGGCCCTCCAAAATACCCTGTCGATTGATGAAATATTTGAGCCTCAGCCATCAATATCAAAAACTGATTCAATGCCATTGACATCAAACAAGAAAACGCCCTAAAATCTTCAAGGGTCCAAACGTGTGTAAGTTTAATTTATGCTCAAAAGTTAAATTCGTTTATCACAGTGCCCACATGATGAATAAAAATTTGATAACTACAAGTGCTGTATAAATGAATCAAGAAAACAATTATCGGATGAAGAAATGCTCAACCTAACTAGTCGACTCGATAACCGTATGGCAAATTTTATTCACACTCAAATTTGCCTCGATAGTAAAAAAGGATGATGCTTCAACTTCAATTTTTTCAAACTTATCTGCCACTCCAAGTCGCAAAACTTTTATAAAGGTCTTGAGCACTTATATATGCTGATTTTGTTACAGAAAACATTTTTGTTAGGTTTGTGTTATAAATATTTAATTATTTAAATGGTGTAAATGCATATTTGTTTAGAGTATTTCCATGTTTAAATAGACAAATTATACGATGCGGCGTTAATTTACTGTAATAAAAAAAAATAATAATATAAATTGCATTTTATTTCAAGTTTGAAATTAATGCAAAAATATAATGAAGTAAAATAAAATAAAGATATAAATTGGCAAAATATTTGACTAGTTTCAAATCACAAAACAGTCAATATGGTTATTTTATGATTTGAAAATAGTCAAATATTTTTCCAATTTTTGTGCTTTATTTGATTTTCTTCATTATATTTTTGCGCTATTACAAAGTTAAATTTCAAAAAGCCCACTCGTGGCGGCCATATTGCATTTTAGTACCACTCCAATTTGATAGATGGCAGTACATCGACTCAGAATTTTACCATTGAGTTTCCCATCTATTCACATTAGTAATCTATGCGGCCATGCCTAGCCTATTAAATAAAGGGAATCTGTAATAAGAATATTATACCAATGACATATATAGTTTATATAGACTGCTTATCCATATATAAACAAGACAACGAAAAGCGGGTCATATTGCTCGTCTTGCCGAGTGCTCACCAGGCAGAATCGGTCTAGCCCAAATGAGTTTAAAACTCATATTTCATTAAAGTAGGAATTGATTTTAAAAATAATAATTATCTGAATGATTACTTCAAGACAGGAGCTTGGTTAGGTATTTTTAAAAAGAATATTTATTTATTTAAGTCTTAAAGTTTAGTTCCATATTTGCAAAACATTTTAAGAGATCTAAACAATTTTACACTCCTGTATAAACACATAACGATGTGCAATTAACATACCTCTTATATTATTAAATTTAACAGTTATAATTAAATTTTTTAAATTTGCTGAAATACCTATAATGTATTCATTCGTGCAAATTCAAAATGGCCATACCCAGTTGAATTTGACCATAATATTGGTGTTTTTTTTTAAATAACTTTATTCTTTACATTTATAGTTAAATATTTACATGATTTGTATTTAAGTATTTGATAATGTAACAAAAAAATGCATAATTCTTGATATTATTATAAAAATTATTGTACAAAATACAAACCTATAAATGGACATTTGACTTCTAATAATTTTATGGGTTCACCTTTATTGTTTATTATTTTTATATGTTTATTTTTGAAATAATCAACCCTGTCTCCTCTACAATAATAACATCATTAGTTGCATTTATGCATGCCTGTCGAGCCTCACCTTCATGCTCAATTCTATGTAGAACAAATCTAAAAAATATCAATTTAAAACAGTATATAATAATAAATATCTTGTTAACCATTAACCATTTTTTTTAAATGTCTATGTATTTAAATAAAGGATTTAATATGAATAAAAGTTCACTTTATTTATCTGTTTACAATCATTTTTGGAGTGTCTTTAGTGTAAGTATAAAGATCATAACACCGAGAACCTGTTATTCTATATTTTCTTTTAAACTGCTAGATCAACTTGTCTTTCCTTGTTAATTCTGCAAGCATGCAGTTATTTTCTGGGATTAACATGCCATAAACCCTCTAACAAATTCTTTTTTTATTTCTTTCTAATTTAAATTTAAAATGTCTCTTTTACACACATGATTAATAAACTCGCACTACTTATAGCTTGCAGCTTACTTATGTTTTTCTAATGCAGAATTAGGAGCTACAAAACAGAGTTCTTTAAGGATATAATCCTTTTTGTCAGACATATTTCATCTGTCGGCGTAAATAGAGTAGAATTTAAGGCGTGCTAGCTCTTTATAAAGCTATCAGAGTTCTTTTTGGGTAATACTAAAGTTGGCAAAAAATTGAAAACTTTTTTATTATGCACAAAATTGATTCAGAAAATTACATCTATTTTTTTACATATTCTATTTAAGTATGTAAGTGTCGTATTTTGAATGATTTAAGTCGTCAAATCTTAAAAAACATGTCGGCTCATTTAATATTAAGAAATTTGAAATAAAACTTAAAAAATGAGAATATTTGACTTGTTAGTAGTTCGTGGTTGAAATAAAGTTATATAAAAATCTTCACGTTTTTCAATCGCCTCTACATCCACAACTGCAAAACAATACAACCCACTCCTACATTTAATTCGTTTCACTGAATGAGACTTATATCATAACTACTCGTACAATGTGAGGAACAGTAGTGACATCAGAGCGGCTGCAATGAAAACAGCTAGCAGGAAAAAGAGTTAGATACTATAATGTCTGAAGGGATAGAGCTATGCAATAAACTACTTGACAGTATGAACTATCTAAGCATGATTGCATGGAAAAAACGACTCAGAAAATGGATATTTGGTATGGTTTCTTCGAAGAATGAAAACGTAA